CTCTCGTAGTTTAGTGGTCAGAACATTGGTGCGTAAAGCCAAAGGTCCCGGGTTCGATTCCCGGCGGGGGTGTGACAACAGCAACAATTTTTCCCTCATTAATTTGAGGTAGTTTGTAGTGGGTAAATAAAAAATCGAAAAAATGATTTCAAATTAATATTGTATATATAAGGATAAATATCGTAATAAATTGAATGAGGTATCTAATTGATTTAAATAAATACAAATATTCTTTATTCAGACTTTAATAAAGACGAAGTGTTTTAAATTACAAAATAGTAAAAACATTTCATCGAAACGATAAGACTTTATAAGTATCACAGCGCGACGTGCACTATTTTATGTATATTCAATCGAACACGTTAGTCGATTTCAAGCACTTGGGCACATCGTGCCCATTTGTGGTGCCATTAAATGTCTCTAAGTTCAAGATGACGGGTGAAAGTGGTACGTTTACTGATCCCGCGACAATACATGATGCACTTGTTTTCATAGCCTTTCCTTTGTTCTTCCTTTTTATGTTCGGCATCGTCTTCATATCGGACGGTACCGCCGACTGTCGTGCGTTCTTGCATGCTTCGAATATCACCAGTTGTCTTACTTCGTAGGCTTTTGCCGACGATAGTGCATTATCGGATACTTCGAGCGTAGCCAGTTGTTTCACTTCTAATGGTTTCGACGAGAGGCGTGAATTATCGGACGTCTCAAACGTTCCCAGTTGTTTCACTTCGTACGCTTTGGGCGACAGTCGTAACTTCTCCGGCGCTAGTTTTCCCAGCTCGTACATTTCCGGCGATAGTCGGCCTTTCTCGCACGTATCCGAAGCGTGCGCTAACCTTATTGCCACGTGTTCGTTAATTTCGTGCTGCTGACGATTTCTTTTCAGATCCGAAACGAACCGACTCTCACCCGAGACGCGCAAAAACTTAGACAAAAACACACAACAAGGAGCAAGAACGCAACGACCAGCAGATAAAGCGACCAAGACAGACGACATGTTCCTGAAACGAAATAGATAATTTAGTAATTAATTAATGCCTGAAAAATCTACATTCAGTTGCGTAACTAGCGGAAGTAGCGTCAAGGGCGTCTTTTGATGTGCCAAAAAGCACTAAAACAGTAAAAATTAAACACCTTCCAGCTCGGAATGCATGGCACTTACTGTGCCTAAATGCTACTAAACGGGATTATTGCCCTCTTCCCCTATTTACGCCACTGTCTACAACATATTGTTATCACGGACTCATCAATTTCTTGAGCTTCTTAAAAAAGCAGTCTTGCATGTAGCTACATTATATAATTTGGTAATTGACAATGGATGTTTATAATTAGTTAATAAATGCCTTCACGTAATATCTATAATAATATATACAACGGATAGTTGATATAAGTCAAAAACTGATGCACGTGATCTACCACGTGATTATAGGGAAAATGTGTGCATTAAGGTGAATATTCGTATTGTCACATGCATATAGACAACCCAACATACATGATGGTAAAGAAACCAGGTTCCTAGACGGCAGATACTGGATCATTCTAGAACACGGTCAGCCTTTATAAATATCTAGTTCTTGCGAGATCTAGAGTAGTTACTACAATAATGCGTTCGAGGCGGTACAGAGCGAAGGAGGAGGGAAGAAGTGACAAAGTGTTCATATAATGCTGAATTGGTAACTAATTAATAATAGAAGTCTTAATTAGACAGCAAATAATTAAATAAAGGTAGTAATAGTGCGAGAAGGTGTTTCAATACATGACAGTATTGAAATTTTAAAGTAGATTTTTTATACTAAGAATGAAAAACCTTTGAATGATTTCATTGCCAACTCATAGTGCTAGATATCGGGTTGTTCAAGGAAACCGCAGAACAAGATGAACCCGGACAATCTAACTCGAAAAAGAACCGGTGGCAGTTTTTCTCCAAATACTAATTATGATCTAGACCACCAGACCAAACAAAAAAAGCCTTTAGTTATCTCATTTCCAATACATCATATTGGTGGACGGGCAGTCCATTCGTTCAATACTGTAGTAAAAAACTGAGTAGAGCGGATGACCCTCTTCAACCTCTTCTTTTAGGAATTGTGAGAATAGGTGGAGACAGAAAGATTGGACGGTGAAGAAAGAAGAGAAGTAGAAGATTATTTGTGGAATATTATTTCTGAACTGCACAAAAACTTAGACCAGGGCACACCACTCGGTTTTTTTGTACCAATCGACTGACAATATTCTTGACAAAACCAAAGTTGCCACTAGGTATGTTACTTAACATTTGTTTATTTCTGTTACTGATTTTATCTTTTTGCCATATTATTCATACACTTTATGTTACTAGGCACAGTATTACAAATCGGTCTATACAAAAGTAAGTTTATTTTGGAGCTGTCCATAAATTGCATAATTCAAAATATTTCCAAATTTCCAATTAGAATTTGTAATTAACTTAAAGGTTGTTGACACATTGCTGAACAACGGAAACAAATTTATAGGAATTATTCTGGCAATGTTATATAAATAGCCCCATGCGGAGTTCATGATAGGTAGGCTGTTGTATTAATTAATATTTAATTATATAGGCTGTTTCCGAAATACATACGCAGCAAGCTTGTAAGAGGTGAAAGAGCACTATAAAACAAGAAAAATAAGTAAATGTTTAGTGGTCCGAAAGTACATCGTTTTCGAGAAAAACGTATTTGAAAGAGCCAGTCCGGCCCTGGTAGGACACGCAGAGAAATACGACATTGCAACGCTGCATTCAATCAGCTGCAGCATCCGTGTTAAATGTGTATTTATTTTGTATTTTGTGTTCTCACGTCGAAGTGTACTTTAAATAGTATTGCATACTACTAGCGATAAAGAAACTAGTTATTAAATTAATTGTTATCTCAGTGACTATTTAAAGATTATTAACCGTGAATGTTTACATTTTTCATTGATTTAGTTGCTTAGTTGTTATCGTAATTTCTCTATGCGTTCTCAATTCAGCGCCGGCTTTAGATTGCAACTTCGTCTNAATTAATTGGAATTTTTCACACACAAGCCTTGCTATATGAGCTCTCAAAGCATATAAAAATTATACGGCTTAAATGTGAAGTTGGGTGCAAAAGAATACAATTAAATCCTCTGTTGGGAAAAAACGAAATGACTTTCCGAACAACCCTATATATACCACAATTCCTAACGTCATTTAATGAACGGGGCTTACAAAACAATACTAAATCGTTGACAATTAAAAACAATTGCCTACTATTTAATATAAAAATTGCTTACCGAGGGACTGAAAAAGTCACTGGAACAAGGCGTGCTAGCCATTTTACGCCGCGGTTGCACTGAATTACAAAATGGCCGACACAAAGCGAGCGGCATTTGCAGATAACTTCATGTCTATACTTTATAGTGAACTGATTCTCATTCCCTCATTCACGATAAAAACCGCAGAATTTCAAAATTCCTAAGCGGCCAGGGCCTCACGGTTAAAGTCGCGGACATATATTTAACTTACATAAATGTAATGTTTTTTTCCAAATATTGTTATTTTATTGATGTTATTAGGCAAATAGGTCATATTTTTAAATGTCTTCAATAAAATAAAAGTGTATAAAAGGAATACTTTTTCAGGTATTAGTGGCCAAATACAAAATTTTGGTAAGCGGACACGGCTAGGGCCTGATATTTGTGGTAGTTAAAAATGTTTTCCAAAGTATAATTCTAAATTATTTCAAACATTTTGAGGGCAATAAATAAAATACATATTTAGCTGTTACCTATTAACTAAAAAGTAAAATTTATTTAATCTAATGCACCCATTTATTTTGCCCATAATTNTACATACGCAGCAAGCTTGTAAGAGGTGAAAGAGCACTATAAAACAAGAAAAATAAGTAAATGTTTAGTGGTCCGAAAGTACATCGTTTTCGAGAAAAACGTATTTGAAAGAGCCAGTCCGGCCCTGGTAGGACACGCAGAGAAATACGACATTGCAACGCTGCATTCAATCAGCTGCAGCATCCGTGTTAAATGTGTATTTATTTTGTATTTTGTGTTCTCACGTCGAAGTGTACTTTAAATAGTATTGCATACTACTAGCGATAAAGAAACTAGTTATTAAATTAATTGTTATCTCAGTGACTATTTAAAGATTATTAACCGTGAATGTTTACATTTTTCATTGATTTAGTTGCTTAGTTGTTATCGTAATTTCTCTATGCGTTCTCAATTCAGCGCCGGCTTTAGATTGCAACTTCGTCTGGTTTTCTTACATTTTTTTTGTCCCTTAACCACCCTGCTCTACTCGTCATGTGTTTCCCTACTGAATCTAGTTATAACCCCCAAAGCTTGCTGCTTATAACAAAAACACCCGGCATAACAATTTTGTTATGTTAAATAATACACGACCTAATGCTTTCTGTCGGACTGGAGTAAATCAAAGCTGCGAACAATCCGTATAACGCAAACCTTGACCCTCCAAACCTTCACATAACTGGACCACTGGACCATAATGCTCGCCTCCTTCCATAACATAATTTATGGACAACCCTTTCCGAATAATCTGATTATTTTGAGAGAATTTAAGGATTTATCAACAGCAACTTGGGATAGCGACGTTTAGTTTAATGACGTGATAAATCGGTACATCGCTTTTAGTTTTGTATCAACTGTGTACTAAAGTGCATATATCCAGGCCTTTTGATTATTGATTGGTTTACTTACTGTGTTAAAGTAGATCATCGCAAACCTAAACAACATTAAACTATACGTAAATGTATTTACAGTACCGTTATTATACTGTGCAAGGTGTTTCTGAAATAAGTAACAAGCTTGAAGGAGGCGATGGGGCACTATAAAAGAGGCTATTAATTTACCTATTAAAGTTTACGTAATGTTAATTTCTTCTTCTTTTTGTGTTGTTAATACCCTCTCTAGGTGTACGTAAAGTGGTATTCCATACTATTAGCGATAAACAAAATAGATTTTTAATTAATTTTTATCGCAGTGGGTGTCTAAACGCTATTAAATGTAGTAGCGTAGCAGTCATCATCATAAGGTCGTCAGTGCCAAGGCTGGTTAGACAAGTACCTCCACTCTTTCCTATCCTGAGCTAATCTTCGCATTTCCCTAAAACTAGAACAGCCCACATCTTGACTATTTGCGAACAGTAATCTAATCTGGGTCTATCTCTACCCCTCCTAACTCCTGTTTCTGCCTCTAATATGTCTCTGACTAGACCTTCATGCCTAAGAAGGTGTCCTACCAACCTATCTCGTCTATTTTTTATTGACTTCCATAGAGTCCTCTGTTCTCTCCTTCTTTCTAATACCTCTTCATTTCTAACCTTTTCTACCCACGATATCCTCATCATCCGCCTATAACACCACATTTCGAACGCTTCTAACCTTTTCTTTTCCGCCGCTCCCACTGTCCATGTTTCGCACCCGTACAACGCCGTGCTCCAAACATA